TCCTTGAGATTTCAGGTGCAGGAGCTGTTGATTACATTCTTGACCATGCTGAGATTGATGTTGTCTTCATACAAGACAAGAAAATAAAAGAAGTACAGCCAAATCTATTAAGTAAATTGAGCACCTTTAAGATCACGTCTGAATTTAGATCTCATAGTGAATATTTCTTATTTGCAGATACTGTCCCCAAATTGCACATCTGCAACGAGGCTAAAAGGTAAGAAAATGGTAAAGTGGTTAGGGTCTCTCTGTTATTCCAGGAAGGATTAAATAGTCTAATTTTTTTCTCCAAAACATGTTTGCAGCATTGGTGGCATTCACCTTGGCAAATAATGAACAAATCAAAGATGCCGAGCAGATTGGGATGAAAATGTACTCCTGGAATGATTTCTTAAAAATGGTGGGGAAAGAGAATCCTATATATCTAAATAGCTGATCCCCACTATCTCTAATTATCTCAACATGCAAATGCTAACTCAACAAATCACCATGCAGGGGAAAAGACCCGCCTTAACATGCACCATGCATGCTACTTATATTCAATAAATATTCTACAACTATACAATAATCATGTATATTTGTTTCAATTTTTATATTATTAATCCAAATACTAGTGTTTTATAGAACCAAATCTCTTTAAAATAATTACAACCAATTCCTGCAGCAATGCTCAGGTATCATCTAGTTTACAAAGTTTGGTTTACAACTAAAATAACTAGATCCATTCAGACTGCCAAGATTGGAAGCAATGTTTGTGATGAAATAACTAGATTTCATTGGAATTGGTTTCCGTATGATATTCTCCCGATGAAATATATGTGTTGATCAAGCAATAATTCTGAATTGCATTTCAGGGAAAGGATAAACCAGTTCAACCTCGTCCACCGCAACCAAATGATACATGCACCATCATGTACACAAGTGGAACAAGTGGGCAACCCAAAGGTGTTATGCTGAGCCATGAGAGCCATGGGATGTATGTAAAAGGGGTGGACCTCTTCATGGACCAGTTTGAAGATAAGGTTACTCCTTTCTATCAGATATAATGATGTGAATAAGCTTAATTCCAATTCAATAGATGGTTATCTTTAGCATAAATGTAAGCAAACTGGGTGGTTTTGGGCATGCAGATGTCAACGGAGGATGTATTTCTTTCTTTTCTCCCACTTGCTCACATTCTCGACCGCATGATCGAAGAGTATTTCTTCCACAAAGGAGCCTCAGTTGGCTATTACCATGGAGTGAGCAAATCCACATATTAGCCTTTCTACTTTTTCAATCTTATTGGTCATCATTCTTTCTTTAATATAACTGCACTGTTCTTTTTTGTCAGGATTTGAATGCCTTGAGAGATGATCTCATGGAGTTGAAACCAACCCTACTAGTTGGGGTGCCCAGAGTGTATGAAAAGATTTACGAAGGTGGTAAAAGAAAAATTATTGATATCAAATCAGCCTTCATATCAGCTAACTCAGATAACCTTTTTATGATTGACTTTAGGTATTTTAAAGGCCTTAGCGGATCTCAGACCTCTCAGGAGGGTGATTTTTAATGCTTTGTACAACCGGTAAGTTGGTTAGCATCATGAATATTTATTGCAGTAAATAAATTATGTCATCTCACCATAGCTTTTGCAATTCAGCAAACTAGCAGGCATGAAAGCAGGCTACACACAAAAAACTGCTTCACCTTTCGCTGACATGCTGGCTTTTCGCAAGGTATTGTGTTCATAACTAAGGGGGTGTTTGTTTCCAGGGACTTTTTGGTGTAGGGACTAGAAAAAGTCCCTCTTAGAGACTTTTTTACCAAACGGGAGGGACTTTTTAGGGACTAAACTAGGCATTTGGGACTAAATGAAGAAGACTCTCAAGGAGAGTCTTTTTGGGACTTTTTGGGACTTTTCCAACAATGCCCCTCCATGCACCTATTGGCCCGCCACCCCATGGTGTTGTTTGATTGTTATTTTTCTATATACTAGGGGCAACATGGTCATTTAATAACCTCTAGGAAGGGACTAGGGACTTTTTAGTCTCTGGAAACAAACAGGGAGGGACTTTTTAGGAACTAGAGACTTTTTAGTTGGGACTAGAAAAAGTCCTAGGACTAGAGAACCAAACACCACCTAAGAACCACTAGACACAAATTACTTTCAGAAAAATAAATAAAAGATCAGTAGCAGTTGTACTCACAGTGTCTGTATCTTACTTCTTTTTGTTGCATTTCCTTGCTCTAGGTCAAGGCAAGGCTCGGTGGCCGTCTTCGCCTACTAATCTCCGGTGGTGCACCCTTAAGTACTGAAATTGAAGAGTTCATGAGAGTGACCAGCTGTGCATACTTTATTCAAGGCTATGGTAATGCATGTAGACACTTTTCAGGGTTCAGATTTCTTCCTGCAGACTGCCATCACCACAGAAGTACAAATATATTTGTTTAAAGGACTCTAAAGCATCAACAAGTAGTTGCCAAAGGCAAACAAATAATAAACAAAATATGTCACCAGACTGGCAAACAAATAATAGAAAATATATACCACTAGACTTGGTGAGTATACTTGTAGCTCAACTGCTCAAGTATGAGTTATAGTTGTATTTAGAACTGGAATGTATTGACCTGTTTTAACAAGTCACAAGATAACGATAAAGCTGGTTTCATATGTAGGTTGGGTTCATGTTTTCCTTACTGTGTCCTATCCCCATTGCAAACACTAGTTTTAAGAGTTTTCAGCAAACTTTCTGTTTCGACTATTTCACTTGTTGCACATTACTGTTTACAGCTCGAAGTAAAAGATTGTGGACATCTATTTTTCCTATTAACAAAGATACTGACATGCCACATAATCTTTTTCTCTCCATATGATGTTCCAAAATTGCATGGGTTAGTTATCAGTCCCTTTGTCAATGAAAAGGAACCAGTATAACGTTCAATTCTGTTGTCTCTGCTCAGGTTTAACAGAAACATTGGGACCTAGCACAGTCGGTTACCCTGATGATATGTCCCTGGTTGGAACTGCCGGTGTTGCCGCCACCTTCACTGAACTGCGACTGGAAGAAGTACCTGAGATGGGTTATGATCCACTTGGTGTTCCTTCTCGTGGTGAAATCCTCATTAGAGGGTCCACTGTCTTCACTGGGTACTACAAAAATCCTGAGCTCACAAATGAGGTCATGGTTGATGGATGGTTTCATACAGGTGAATAATCAATTTTAATTTAAACAGGAGACTAATGTAAATTTAAAATTATCATGTTCTGACACAATCTTGTTCTCAGGAGACATTGGGGAGATGACCCCAGATGGAATCCTGAAGGTTATTGACCGAAAGAAGAACATATTTAAGCTATCGCAAGGGGAGTATGTCGCAGTTGAGTATCTGGAGAAAGTATATGTCTTCCCTCCAATTATTGAAGATGTAAGGACAAACCCATTGAAATCATATGCTTATATTGACAGAGTCATGGTGCTACATACAATGTAATACTGTCATTTTTGTAGATCTGGGTGTACGGGGACAGCTACAAATCAATGTTAGTCGCAGTAGTTAACCCACATGAAGAAAACACCATGAAGTGGGCAGGGTCAAATGGCTACAAAGGTTCTTTCAGTGAAATATGCAAATCTGAAGGCCTTAAAGAGCATGTCCTTAAAGAGCTCGCAGCGGCTGCACAGAAGAACAAGGTAAGGCCATTTATTCACTTCTACATTGGACACTAAACATATTACATGGTCAACATGGTTTTCGCTTTTGCGTTACAACAAAGAGGAACTCACGAGTTTCTATATTGTATAGACTCCTTCGTTTTAAATCTTTACTCCATCTAAGCATCACATATATAATCCTCTTTGCATGTCTCGGATCAGCTACGAGGTTTTGAGTACATCAAAGGCGTAGTGTTGGATCCTGTACCTTTTGACATTGAAAGGGATTTGGTCACTGCAACAATGAAGAAGAGAAGAAACTACATGCTAAAATATTATCAGGTAATATATTTTCATCTGCTGCAGTGTGATTTTTGTTGTTTTTACTAATTTTCAGGGTAAAAGCCAGTGTATTAGTATTGGGTTCAAGTGAGCCCAATAAAATTGGTAAATCCCATACAAAATCACTATTGATCTATGAACAGCTAAAGTTGTAGCATACAGAGCCAACCTTGTGGTCCATATGTTGTAGAGCTGACTTCTTGGTCTTCGTCCTAGCTTTGCCCATAAATGTCCTCTCTTACTTCTTTTGAGTAATTCTAATTCATTGTTCTTCATGTGCAGCCTGAGATTGACAAATTATACAAAGCATTGGAGGGTCAGAGGGCTGCGAACAAAGCAAAGTAAAGCTATGTGTTTTGTTAGGTCACATGCCGGAATATTATTGTAAATCTACTATTGAACGACGTTGGTAATCAAGACTACATAAAAGCAATAATGCATATTGTGTGGTG